GTAACAAAAGAAACACAGAAAAGCATGAGTTTCATGGGTGGCTTATTGTGCTCAGCACTCTGATAAAAGCCCCCGAGTTAGTGCTGGCAAGGAGGCATCAGCCATGGAGGGTAGAACCATTTCCCTGCAAACAGCCCTTGTGTTCTTGCGTTGCATGGTGCCAGTAGCTCTAGTAGTCAGACCACTCCAGCTCTATAAGGTTGCCTCTTTAGCATTTATTGTCTCTTTATTCCATTCCCATAAACATTTTTGAAGCCTTCAGTGTTGAATATTTGGAAAATATAAAAGGAAATTCTATGAAATTATAATTCTATAAAAGTAATTCTGGTCCGAATTGTGGTTTCATCATGTGGAGGGACAGAGAGTGGAGTTGTTGCACAAGCAGCTGTACCAGAATCAGGGGAAGCTCTCTTATCTCCATATTTCTGTCATCAAAGCTCCATTTCCAGCCCCCAAACCCGTGGTGATCTCCCTGCTTGAAGGAGGGGAAGTCCTGTGGATCCCAGATGTGCGTAGCCCTGAGGCTGTGCCAGGAGACTTCAGCCCAGGTGAGGTGGTGGAAGGAAGGAGGAGGTTGGGGCTGTGAAAGCCATCTCTGTCTTGATTTTATTTTGGGCATTGTGTGGTATTTCTGGATTTTCTCTGTCATCCAGCAGGAACTCGGATTGCAGATATATTGGAGGATCTGCAGGAAAGTGGTGTGGCCGAAAGGCGATACAGTAGTGCCTGTGTGGAAGAAATCAGAAGGGATGTCCAAGGAGGCCTGGAGAAAGGTCAGGGTGAGTGCATCAAGAATCCCCTGGGAAAGTGTCTGGTAAAGACAGGAAGGAATCCACTGTACTTCAACAAAGGTGAAAAGTATCCTGAAGAACCCGGGAGCAAGGATGTGTGCCAGAAGAAAAAGCAGAATCCATGCACGGAATGTGGAAATAGCTTTGAAAAAGATTCCAGCATCATTAACCACCAGTGCATACACTCAGCAAAGAGCCCATACAAGTGCTCTGATTGTGGAAGGTGCTTCAAAAGAAGATCCCAACTAACCCGCCACAAGCACATCCACACAGGAGACAGACCCTTTAAGTGCTCTGAGTGTGGGAAGAGCTTCAAAAGGAGTTCCCACCTCACCTTCCACCAACGCATCCACACAGGAGAGAGACCCTACAAGTGTACTGAGTGTGGGAAGAGCTTCAAAAGCAGTTCCCACCTCACCTGCCACCAGCGCATCCACACAGGTGAGAGACCCTTTCAGTGTCCTGAATGTGGGAGGAGCTTCAAAAGCAGTTCTGAATTGAAGCAGCACCATCGTATCCACACAGAGGAGAGACCCTACAAGTGTACCGAGTGTGGGAAGAGCTTCAAAAGCAGTTCCCACCTCACCTTCCACCAACGCATCCACACAGGAGAGAGACCCTACACGTGCTCTGAGTGTGGGAAGAGCTTCAAAAGGAACTATGAATTGAAGCAGCACCAGTGCACCCACACAGGAGAGAGACCCTACAAGTGCTCTGAGTGTAGGAAGAGCTTCAGAAACCATTCCCACCTCAGTTTCCACCAACGCATCCATACAGGAGAGAGACCCTACAAGTGTCCTGAGTGTGGGAAGAGCTTCAAAAGGAACTATGAATTGAAGCAGCACCAGCGCATTCACACAGGAGAGAGACCGTTTCAGTGTCCTGAGTGTTGGAAGAGCTTCAAAAGCAGTTCAGAATTGAAGCAGCACCAGCGATACCACACAGAGGAGAGACCCTTTCAGTGTCCTGAGTGTGGGAAGAGCTTCAAAAGCAGTTCTGAATTAAAGCTACACAAGCGTATCCACACAGGAGAGAAACCTTTTACATGTCCTGAGTGTGGAAAGAGCTTCAAAAGCAGTTCTGAATTGAAGCAGCACCAGCGGACCCACACAGAGGAGAGACCCTACAAGTGCTCTGACTGTGGCAAGTGCTTCAAAAGCCGTTCCCACCTCAGTTTCCACCAACGCATCCACACAGGAGAGAGACCCTTTCAGTGTTCTGAATGTGGGAAGAGCTTCAAAAGTGGTTATGAATTGAAGCGCCACCAGCGCATCCACACAGGGGAGAGACCCTACAAGTGCCCTGACTGTGGGAAGAGCTTCAAAAGCAGTTGTCAATTGAAGCAGCACCAACGCATCCACACAGAGGAGAGACCTTTTCAGTGTCCTGAGTGTGGGAGGAGCTTCAAAAGCAGTTCTGAATTGAAGCAGCACCAGCGCATCCACACAGGGGAGAGACCCTACAAGTGCTCTGAGTGTGGGAAGAGCTTCAAACACAGATCTAATCTCAACACCCACAAGCACATCCACAGAGCACAAAGGCTGTAGAAGCATCCGCAAGATATGAGGAACCTTCAAAAGCAGTTCCAGCCTCATTACCTACCAGCACAGCCACACAGGATACAGAGCCTGCAGAGCCCCGAACATGGGCAGAGCTTCAGCCAGAGCCCCAGTCTGGTCACCACATGTGGCCTTGTGTGGTGATGAACTTTACAAATCCCTTGAGTAGAGGAAGAGCTCTGCGGCCAAACTCAATCCTCATTCTCCTTCTTTGCATGAGAATTATGCATATTGCTCTCTTACAGCTGCAGTTGCTGTGTTGAGCAGCTGTATAAAGGAGAATCCACAGTGGGATGTGTCACAGCCACTGGAAACCCTCTGCCAATTTGGCATATTTCTGCCAGTGCTGTGTGCAAGGAGAGTCACATCTTACCTCCCCGGTAGAAACTTCCCTGCTGCGGGGCAGCAGGTGAGGGCCCAAAGGGAACCTCTACTGAGCCGATAAGTCACCAGGAAGGAAGAAATTCTGTCTGCAGGGTGTGTGGGAAGAACTTCATCTGGAGCTCAACCCTCAGTAGACACCAGAGAACCAACACAAGAGGAGAGTCCCTATGACTGCCTTGACTGCAGGAAATGGTCCGTCCACAGCTGGAAGTTCATCACACACCAGTGGATCCACATGAGGAACCCTACAAATGTGCAGCCTGCAAGAAGAGCTTTGGCCACAGCTCAAACCTGCTGTGGTACAGAGTGTCTGCACTTGGGTGAAGTCCAATCCGTGCCTGCACCAGTGAGTTCATGTGGCTAGAAACCTTAGAAATGCCTCGAGTGTGAGAAGGGCTTTGTGCAGAGCGCAGAGCTCCTCACGTGCATGAGATGTCACTTGTGTCAGAAGTGCTACAAATGTCCTATGTGTGGGAAAATCATCAATCAAAGCTCCTACCTGATCAAGCACCCTGGGATCCACGGAATCACAGAATCACAGAATCGTATGGGTTGGAAGGGACCTCCAAAGATCATCAAGTCCAACCCCCCTGCCAAAGCAGGTTCCCTACACCAGGTCGCACAAGTAGGTGTCCAGGCGGGTCTTGAATATCTCCAGAGAAGGAGACTGTCCTGTTCCAGTGCTCTGTCACCCTCACTAAAGAAGTCCTTGCGCACATTTGTGCAGAACTTCCTATGCTGCAGTTTCTGGCCATTTCCCCTTGTCCTGTCTCCGCACACTGCTGAAAAGAGTCTGGCCTTGCCTCTCTGCCCCCTACACCTTAGATATTTATAGACCTGGATCAGGTCCCCTTTCAGTCTTCTTAAAGCTAAACAGACCCAGATCACTTAGCCTTTCTTCATAGGGGAGACGCTCCAGGCCCATCACCATCTTTGTGGCCCTCTGATGGACTCTTTCCAAGAGATCCCTGCTTTTTTGTAGTGGGGAGCCCAGAACTGGACACAGTACTCCAGATGAGGCCTTACCAGGGCAGAGTAGAGGGGGAGGATCACCTCCCTCGACCTGCTGGCCACGCTCTTTTTAATGCACCCCAGAATGCTGTTGGCCTTTTTGGCCACAAGGGCACACTGCTGGCTCATGGCCAACCTGTCGTCCACCAGGACACCCAGGTCCCTCTCTGCAGAGCTCCTCTCCAGCAGCTCATCCCCCAACCTGTACTCGTGCATGCAATTATTCCTCCCTAGATGCAAGACTCTATATGTGCTTTTGTTAAACCTTATCTGGTTTCTTACTGCCCAGCTCTCCAGCCTGTCCAGGTCTCGCTGAATGGCAGCACAGCCTTCAGGTGTGTCAGCCAATCCTCCCAACTTTGTATCATCAGCAAACTTGCTGAGGGTGGCCACTATGCCCTCATCCAGGTCACTGATGATGTTGAACAAGACTGGCCCCAGCACCAACCCCTGAGAAACACTGCTAGTTACAGGCCTCCAACCGGACTCTGCACCACCAATGACGACCCTTTTTGCTCTGCCAGTCAGCCAGTTTTCAGCACAGCTCACTGTCCACTCATCTATCCCACACTTCCTCAGCTTTGTTATAAGGATGTCGTGGGAGACAGTATCAAATGCCCTGATGAAATCAAGGTAGATTACACCCGCTGCTCTCCCCCCCTCCACCCAGCCAGTGACATCATAGCAGGCTACCAGGTTGGTCAAACATGACCTCCCCCTGGTGAACCCATGCTGACTACTCCTGATAACCTCCTTTTCTTCCAGTTGTCTGGAGATGGCATCCAGCACAACCTGTTCCATCACCTTTCCAGGGACAGAGGTGAGGCTGACTGGCCTGTGGCAGAGACCCTAAAAATGCCTGCACTTCAGGAAGAGCTTCATCCAGAGCTCCATCCTCATTAAACTTTGCCCAGGCCACATGAGATGGTGGCCCTGCAAGTGTCTCTGGTGCAGGAGGAGATTCTCTCAGGGCTGGCACCTCGTTTCTCCTGGGAAAACCCCCAGTGGAGGGAGAGACCTTGAGGATGCTGGAGAGCTCAGGATGATGGAGACCTTGGAGGGTTTGGTTTCGGTGCCAACACAGGAAGGGTTTGCAAAGGAGATGGCATCACTGGCACCCTCTGCACAGGGGACTTAACTCAGGAGCTTCAGATGGCTTTTCCTTCCTACCCAAAGCAGTTCTCTCACCATGCCCGCTTTCCTCTTCTGCTCTTCCTGCCAGCAGCTTTTTGATGCCGTTTCCTAAGGAGAAGCGGCTGTGTAGGGATGTTCTGTGTGTCTGTGTGCTTGTGTTGCTCTTAGTAATCTGTGAGTGCACTGATGAATCTGAGAGGGGTCAGGAGAGCAGTAACGTGGCTCTTGGAGGTTTTCTGAGAATCATCAGTAGTGGAAAGGGAAGGGGTGAATGAAGTAGCTGAGTTGTTCTGAACCTTTCTTCACTGTAGTCTTGTGTTTTGTTCTTAAAATAAATGTCAGCATGTGGAATGAGGAGAGGGAAAGGTGCAAGCAGGGTTTGATTTTGGTGCCAACTCCAGCCCAGTGCTTGCTTCTGGGGAAGGCATTTCTCTCACACAACCCTATCGTCCTTCCTAACCCAATGTGCTGCACATTGGTTCTGCTGCTCTTTGGAATGCTTTAATCAAGAGCTCAGAGCAGCTATGTGACACCAAGCCTTGTTTGTCTCCAGTAAAACTACAAAAAGCTGACCTTGTTCTTCCTAAATTCACCATCCCAAGTTTCAGGAGGTGGTGGGAGCAGAAGGCAGTGCAAACTCACAGTGTACAAGCAGCTCGTTCCCACAGCACAGAGATATCAGAGTGCTCTCCAGTGCGTGCTTGCCTTGCAAGTGATCCCTTTTGAGCTTGAAGGTTTTTGCTTTGACCTTGGGAAGTTGTGTCTGAG